ACACACACATCAGACTTGATCCAGAGTCTTTCGATCCACCCGTGCGCACACGTATTCGCACCACGTGCTCGTATACTCGCCTGCATTCGCCCCGCAGCAGGTGCGGCCGACAGAGGTCGGGCCGTTCCACCTGGAGAAAACGGTCATCCACCCGAGCAAGTCATCGGAGGATGCTCAATGGATGATGTGAAAGTCCTCACTGGATGGATTTGAAAACCACCAGTTCTCAAAACTGGAACTCCTTGATTTTTCCAGTTTTCTTCCATTCGTTGGCAGTCCAAGCTGAAGTTTCCAGTGCTTACAAGTGCCTTGTTCCACTGGGTTCTTGACTCCCAAGAGTTCATCGACGGTCGAACGACCAACGACAGAACGGAGACGAGACGGAACATTGAGTCGACGACAGAATGCCTGTTTTCTTTTGACCCCCATTAAGGGGATATCTGTTCTTTAAGAAATTGTCTTTTCCGGGGGGTCTAGTATCTATATTGGCACCATTTTGTCCGTGGTCGGCGCTCAACTAGACACCGGCTAGGGATGTTTCGATTGAATACTGTGTATACTTGGTAACTTTCTACAAACAAGTTGATCACTAAGTTGATCATAATCACAGAAGGTTCACCAAGTAGGTTAACAAGTTGATCACTTTCACATAAGGTGATCTACAAACAAGTTGATCACTTCAGTTTTGTATCACAGAAGTTTTGTAGGTTATATAACCGGACCGGTGATGTCCTGCAAGGATCAGTTTCTGCTTCATGGAGGGGAGACTTCCATCCATGACCGGTCATGGACTTATACTACTTATACTACTTCCACAATACACCGTGTACATGACAAGCTAATCAATCAATCCATGTGTAGTTAAGGATTGTTCAGCCCAGCTTAGAGTAAAAGAGTCTTTCTACAATCTAGACATATCTAGCTTAGTATAGATTTGTTCAAATGACAGCTTTGTCATTGTCCTTTCTATTTACGATCTACAGGGTAACACAGTATATAGAGTCTATTCCTTTAACCAACATCTGACGCCCTCACACCCCGGTCGGACGACTGTCGGTGCAAGCATGTCACCGTCGCCGTTTCGACCGTCGAACGGGAGGGCATGGGTCGAAGTCCCTCTTTCAGGCGTCAAACGGGCACCTATGTCCAGTTTTAGGTCAACATTGTTTATTTTTACATGACTTGGCACTTGCCTATTGCACATGTTTGTTGAACACCCCCAAAACGCCGTAAGTGACCATTTACTTGGCCCAGTCCGGGATGAAACCGGGTCGTGTCGACCATGGCCGAATCATGTCGGCTCCCGGCCAGTCCCGGGTCCGTGCGCTCGCGCGTCGGGTCTCGGCACGTTGTCCACCAAGACTTGGAAGGCGGCCACCGACGATTCCTCGGGGTGGAATGAGACGAGAAGGTCCTCTTTCGGAAGCCGGAAGCCGGCTGCTGCGAACGAAGCTACAGTGATACCCAGACACTCCATGGGACTGCCATATATGCCTACATTGACCCCCCAAACCCACCCAACTGATCGGCATATATGGCAGTCCCATGGAGTGTCTGGGATATATAAGCTGATCGTTCAGCGGATCGTCGGTGTTACGGTGAGAAGCTTTGAACTCACTGGAATGTCACGTTTGAAACGGTGGCCACACAGAAGAACGGTCTGGTACGAAGAAGAACCCGTGTTGTTCTGAGGTATGGACCAATTTGTTTTAGCTACTACTGTAAGGAGTTCTGATCTACTCTTGTTACATCAAAATGAGCGGCATATAATCAAGAAACTAAATCTCTTGTGACCTCGAACACACAGGTAATGTAGACTCTTGATTGATCACCCCCCATACGAAGAGGTATTTCAATCCAAATGGGGTGTGTGGTTAAGTTTATGAATCAAGAGTCCACATTATCTTCCAAGCCCCCATGGCGAAGCCCTGGTTTGTCCGACTGTAACACCAGGCTGTGTCCTGACATCCATTTAATGAACGTCCAAGGCTCCAAAAGATCATATCGGACACGGTTCAGCACATCCTGCCAAAGGCACAGATGGTGGAGAAACTAATTACATCGGGAATGAGAAGGCTCACTTTCGAGAGGCTCAAAAAGCCCAGCCCAGCGCAGAAAGATGCAGAAAGAACACTCAATCATTCCTTATACTTATAGTCCTGAAGCTAGAACCAACGCTCCCCCCTGCTGGCACCAGGACCACCCTGGACCGAAAACAGAGATAGACCAGGAGCCCGTCAGCCGCGCCTCCACCCCAGTGGCGCCCTCACGGAGTTGCGCACGCGTGGCGGTCCTCGGTTTCGGTCGCAAAGCGAGTGGAGGTCCAAGAGAACAAGTGCGACGGGTTCCGTGGCCTTCGAACTGAAAGAGGTGTGCAGTTTTCGTGAGCATCTATGGGACTGGGAATATCTAATGTTATTCATTTATCCATATTGACCCTCAAAACAACATCTCAAAACCACCCATCCATATAGGCAAGCTATTCCAGCCCCATGGACTTTTGGTGATTGGGACCGTGAATGATCGACGTGGCAAGGTACTGTGGCCTTTTTTGGCCGTGTGCATGTATATTCTACACTGTGGCAGTGTGGTGAACACCTCCCAAGCTGTGGATTAGGAGTGTTTGGCATGTAAGCCGCCATGTACCATGATTGATAGACCAAGAATCCCCACCCTGGACCTTCTGTACTCATGGAAGGAAGAATCCTGCAGCGCTTGGGACAACCAAATCCTGGAAATATAGATGTCAGGCCCCTTTCAAATGTCTTCCCTTAAAAGTACGTGGTTTTACGGTAGTCTAGCCCCAGGGCTTCAAGAAACTCTTCAGCATCCTCGAGGTTTTCCCATATTTCCAAAAAGGAGAAGGTGATGTGGAGCGCCTCTGGTCGTCTTGCTGTTTTCGCTTGTAAACACCAAGCAATTCTGAGATGCCCATCCCAGCCCCCGCAGCCTCCCCAGCCAAGAGACGCCGTGCTCTCATCAGCCTGGTGAGACTAGGACAAGCACAGCAGGCTGGATTTGTAGGGTGGTCGCGTATTCAGTCAAGCCACTTGCCCGAGTTGATCGCAGGAATTCTGAGACTGTCAGACTGTTGATACACAAGTTGCTGTGTCACACCTTTTTGGGTACCTTGTGGATCTTCATGGGTTGTCATATGGTGGTTGATCAAAATTCCTTCTTGCTGGCAGGCCATTCTTCGCAAAACAATATTTGCTTTCGCGAATCTTTCGCGAACTCCATGTTTAACTTTCGCGGGGGGTATACCCTCAAGAAATCATAGTGGTTCTACATAGCAGCCTAAGCACTTCCATCAAGCACCATTTTGGATCTGCAGACGAGGTTGCGGCACAAGGCAGATTGGCGAGAACTCTCAATCACCACCATTGGATGAATCAGCAGAACTGGTGGAGGATGAGCTGGAAGAGCTATCAACGGTGTTGCGCTCATGTCTTGCTAGGTCTGTCGCTGCTTGGCTTGGGCAGGGGTCCACAAAACAAACCTTCACATTCGCCTATGCTTTCGCGGAACTTTCGCGAATCTTTCGCCAAAAATTGTGGCGTCATTGGTGGGTTTCTAGGCGCACAGCGTAACAACCAGTGGCAGCAGCACGAGGAGGAGTAGTAAGAAGTGGTAGTCGTAGTGGTAGTGGCAGTAGCAGGAACAGCAGCAGCAGCAGCAGCAGCAGCTGCAGCAGCAGGAGGAGGAGGGCATGGCTTCAAGCCTAAAAACTGCATGTATACCATATAGTATAATAGACTCTTTCGCAGATCTTTCGCCAAAAAAACAAATACTTTCGCGAACTCGAGAAAAAACTTTCGCGGACAACTTGAAGAGGCTCTCAGTGGCATAGGCCTTATGTCGACCTTTCGATCGACTACCATATATCCATCTTCTTGTGACCCCAAGATCGCCTTTTTGAAGTGCTGCATGCATCCCTCAAACGAACATGTCTTGGACACCAAGACATGATAAACAACATCATATATGAGTTATCCAAACGACTGTTAATAGATAGAAGCACAGACTTGGAACAGGATGAGACCTAAACATGTTTGGGGTTGCACAGTCACCTGTGGCCACCAGGATTCACTTGACATTAAATCTTGAGTTGGGGTGTAGTGCATCATGACAGTTATATCACCCCAGTCAACTTGAGTCTTCCTCCAAGAACAAGACCTGTCGGGCGCAAATCCAACTACAACAGGGTCCAGGCGAGCAACGGCCAAAGGCACCGGACGATCTTTGTTATTGGGTCAGAATTCCTACTGCTGTAAACCAGGTAAAGCTGGGAGGTTCCCTCCATTTTTAGCAAGCGTCAACATCAACGCCGCCGCCGCATCCCGGTGAGCCTTCGACCGCCGCCGCGGCGCCAGCCGGCTCCCGTCAGGAGAGATCGGGGAGAGCCTGAGCGGAAAGCAGTGGTTCCAAGGTGAGGTGCCTCCCAAGGAAGCCTGTTTCTACCTTCAACCGAGGAGGTGGTTGGATGTTTAGGGTCATTTGGATTCTCTCTCTTGTGGAGCTGGGCATCAAGTCCCACAAGCAGCGGAGGGAACTGTGGGTTGTACAAGTACAAGGATGATGGAGGGTTGCGCGTACTCAGGGCCTGAGACCTTCAAACAGTAACACACCCCAAACTCTACTTGAGACCAAACTGTTGGTGAACATTCTTCCCTTAAAGTGCCCAGGTCAGTCAAAAGGGCGCTTGGATGGAAAACTGTTGGCATCACATGCTCCATCATGTTCATACACTTTCTCAATCCAAAGACTTCCGGAGCCTCTGTTTTTCGCTGTGGCCCTCTGTCTCTGCATCCCGATGATTCGGGTGGCAACGGCCTAGCAGCTCAGCTAGTATGTCATCATTGGTTTAATCATCCCCTCCTACTCCTACCCAGGAAAAGTGGGACCACACTGACACAGTGGGCAAAGTTCATGGGTCCTGGGTCCATCGTTCATTACATTCCAGTAGAACATGCTGTTTGGATCCTGTGCCCTCAAAGACTATGTCGGCCTTCGCGTCCCTTTCACAGAAATATAAAACACCAACACCAAGTGTCGGAGGCGACTGGAGAGGCGACGAACCTGGGCTGTGCAGCTATCGGGACAATCAAACTGTTGAGGTCTATGCCCTCAACTACATCCTCAGAAGGTACTGAGACTGAGTTTGACCCCACCAAACTCTATATATAACCCCTATCCAAGTACCTTTGAACAGCTAGTTCGAGTTGAAGGTCTGCAAAGGTCGCGGCAGAGGTCTCGTCGTCTACAAGCCGCAAAGACTTCGCCCAAGTCACGAAGTGAAATTCCCAAGGGACGAACTTGGACCTGTTTGGATCATACCTGGACCTGGACTCATGACCTGTTCTCAACAAACCTGGACCTGTCTGATCATGATGTGTTTTCCTTCTGGAAGGCTTGATCAGTCTCTTCCTGGAAGACTTAGGAGCTGCCTCCATGGTTTGAAACTGTTTGGAGATCAAGCAGTAGAGTCGGGTAGAAGGCCTCAACCCCTGCGGTTCATGGGGCCAAAGATATGCCATTGAAGCATATTCAAGCCACGCCATCAGCTAGATGATCTAGATGGTAGTTGCATTTGCTGCTGGAATGGTTGGACAAACTCCAATTGATAGCAAGCAAGCAAGCAAGCTAATCAAGTCCCTCTCACAAACGGATGCAGTGGAGAGCATCCACCCGTCAAACCATCAGAACTCCAACTTCCAATCTGCTACCCCAGCGGCAGAAGGTGCGCACCCGCAGTTGTGGAAGACGTGCTTGGATTGACCAGGCATCGCCTAAGCGAAGCGACCGTGGTATTTATCAGTCCCATCCAGTGAGTGGATGTGAGTCTAGGCCAACCAAGGCACTTGGAACTCCTGGGATGAGTGCTTTCACATCAAACACCAGTTACTCTTGTTTAATAAGCTCCCGCCCATTTGGAATTGTAAAACCTGAATCAGGTTTTTTTATTCATCAAGAGTCTACATCAAAGCGTAACAAGTCGCTCATACTCACCAACCTGTCAAAACCCATCACTCCACAGTGTTTCGTCTCAATCGAAATTGGACTGCAACGGCTGGTGACTGGTGACCAAGTTCCTGCATGATGGTGAACTAGCCATGGGCATCCGATTCGACCGACCCTGCTGACCACTCGCCTTCACCACTTTTGCAGTCCAGTCTACCCGTGGCCCTACACCTGGTCTTCAGCAAAAAGCATCGTGAGCCTCCCTGAAAGAATCATCGCTTCGTGGAGAAACCACCTAGTTTTGGAATTCTAAAACATTGTAATCCAAGGGGGCCATGCATGGCCATGCCATCCACGGGCCCCATGATGATTTCAGTGTATATGTACTTAGTCATCAGATACCTGAGTGTCTCTTCAGAGGTTTATTGCCAGGTATCAGATACCTGGCAATATACCTCTTAAGAGACACTCACCCTGCTGGCCTTCGCATGGCAACGGGCAACTCACTGAGACGCTCCCGGCGGTTGACCAGAAACGGTCGGATGCTGATCTGAACAATATAGATTAAAACATGTATAATATATATATATAAGTTTGTAATAGTTTGTATAAAATTGTATAAACATAGCATGGTCCCAAAAGGTCAAACAATGGGTCAAACGAAAACCAAAGAGGGGGCGGTGCCATCCACGAAACGTGAGTGGGTGGGAGTGTGGTGGGGTTGGACCCCACTCGGGGGTTCACCTCGAGAATCCACCCGAAGCGGGTCGCCTTCGCCACGCACGTCTCGAATTTGTGGCTTCCCCCGTTGTTCCTGGGAAGGCCCGTTGGGGTCGCTAAATGGGTCGCTCCGTGAGATAGAGAGTCCAACGTCAATGCCTGAAGTCAGCTAAAGCACTGGATTGTGCATCCCATTCATCGCTCTTCTCCTTCTCGTCGATGGGAATCACCTGATTTTGCGACAGATTCTTGGGGAAGGGAATGCTGCAACATGCATAGATCATCATACATCATGCAGAACCCCACACCACTGCAACATACTACGACACTGTGAAAACATCTATAAGGCGTTCAGTCCTCTGCCCGAGCAAATTCTAGTTGTTGAACCATGGCGACCAGGCTTTCGTGGCCTTGCTTGGAAATGTGGGCACGTTGGTCTTGAGACCATGATTGGTAAGGCTCCCTGCAAAGTGCAAAGCACATGTGAGAACACATGCCGCCATGCAATCATAAAATTGATGGACATGTCAGGGAAGGGGACCGTTTGAACATATCATAAACGGTGTTGCCCATACTTATCTTTCTGGACCACCATTGCCAGGAATATGGTCATGACGCCAATTATTCTGCGCTTCCTGGCTTCTCAACTCTGAGGCCTTGCATAGCCCCAATGCTTGGCCTCCTACCTGGAAAGCCTTTCCAGCCGAAAGATAACCTTTCAACTCCATGACCGCGGCGGGAACTGACCGTAGTTCAAAACAAACACAGCTGCAGGTGCAGGGCGTCTATTTTGTTCGAAGGGGCTTCCAATGCTATCACAGCTAATCATAAGGCTATCACACACATCCATTAATCTACGAGACTACAACCAGTTCTATAGTGCAAACATATTTTTGTAATAAGTAATAAGTGCAAACTCTGACAGACGTCCCATTCCTATCCTCTCACGTTTCACCTGCTAGCGCCGCTTCGATTTCGGACCGGACTGGTGGGTCCTGAACGACCCATCCCGATTGGAAAAAGTGGCAGGTGGAGGCAGTTCCAGCTCTGTCATCACGAAATCACCGTCCTGCCACGAACTGGGCTCTCTGAAAAAGACCGGACGCAAGGAAGGTGATCAAAAGAATCTGAAGAGAATCCATTGGCTCTGGGTAGCTGCAGACAAAACTAGGATCCGTGTGATCCTTGTAAACTCGTTTGGGGGACTTGGGAGGAGGCCGATCTGTGAGTACCAGAATTCTTCCAAATTCAAAGCTGGATTTCACCTACCATCGACCCCAAACAACAGGCCGTCGACCCCCCAAAACCGTAAAAACCTCCCATGGTCCCATGGCCAAGGAAGCATCTCCACGAGCACTCCGCGGTGGAAAACCCCAACGAAAGGCATCAGAGATAAGCCCGTTGAATTGAACTCTACCTGTTTCCAAGCCTCATTCCCTGCTTTCATCGCACCAGTCAGAAGATGGGTGTGGATGAGTGCACCCTGGTAGGTCGAGTCTAGTCTCGTCACTTGTCATCTATTCTGTTCATGTTCGGTGGGACAAAACAGGATCCTGCGGATCCCGGTTTTGAACCACGGCCATATGTTTCAATCTCTGAACTCGAAAAGTCTCACATGCGCCAGAATATGGCCTTCTCTTGCTTCCATTCAATTCTCAGGTGCCAACATCAGTCCTGTTACCACTGATTCTTGGGGGGTAGATGAACAATGGACCCAAGCAAAAGCTGTCTAATTAAGCTCAAACATTCTAGCGGAGTGGAGTGGCAACACTTCTTCGAATAATGCTGCGCACTTACACATCTACGGAGACATTTTTCGGAGGCTTTGGGAGATGGAGCCCGAACACTTGGATCACCACACTGTGCGTGCGTTGCTGCGTCGTGACCCATCGTCGTCTCCTGTGATTCTTCGCCCTGGGCACGACATCGAAGCGCGACGTCCAAGTCATGAAGTCAACAAATCGTTCGACGTCTTCCAAGGGGAAGAGAAACAACTCTACAAACACCAATAGCCGCCCCAGGGAGGCTTGCAACTTGGAACTGTGACAACTTATATAGTTAGCCACCAAAAATAACAGTTTCACGAACAATGACAAAGGTTGTCCCGTCCAATGAACTGGCATTAACCACTCGTTGTTCACTGGAAGAAAGTCACGCAACCCTGCTCGGCCTTGCCTTTCAGCCATGCAAATCCCTCTAACTCAATGAAGTTAATAATGAATCATTTGGGTGCGGAACAGGGATACCCCCCGAAGGAATGTTTTTACTCCATCTTTCCTCAAACCCATGGGGTCTCTCTGGTGGTCCCTGGATCCCTTTCTTCCCTTTCCGCCACACAAATGGCTTGGCGGGTTTCGCTTCCAATCCGGGCCCCACCTCGGTGAGGCCTGTGATGGGCGAGCTGGCATCGCTTCCTGGTATCGCTCAAGTGACGGGTGAACAGCGTCGCTCGCGTCGCTGGGATGTCAGACGCCACCGCGACGGGGTGTATTGGGGCGGAGACCCGCGTCGCGGAAACCTGGGTCCCGGACGAGTGGGTTCATGTCTAATTGGCAGTTTCCACTACAAGTAGTCATAATTGTTTCCAGGGGCTTATCTAAATGCGGACTGGGAGGCATATAAGCTCTGGTTCAATGCCATTGCAGGTCAAGAGAAAATAGAACATCCACAGTTCCGTCCCCTGATCATGCCCGGACCAGGGGAAGAGTTATGCATAATGCCCCAACTGGTAGAGTCCATCGAGCAGGTAAAGCTAGCTCTGTCAAGCTGTTGGGTTCCTAGCCTGGACTGTCCACCTTGACATACAGAAATACATGTTTGGAAACCAAGAAAAATATTACATCACACGCACACACACGCATACACCTGAGAAGCAGCAAACCGAAAGCCAGCGTTTTTACTTTCGAGTGTGCTTTCTCAAGGCACTCTGCCGAACCCCCCTTCTTACTCAGCTGGCGCAGGTATAGATACCCAGGGTAGTTACAATTCAGTTACCAGGTATAGTAGAGTACTTCAAGTTCCCTTTCCGTCAACCGCTCGATAACCTTTACACACGCACAGCAATCCACAGCTTTGAAGTCTCATTCTTGCATTGAACTTATATAGGTGTGTAAGAGGTATAGCAACATAGCCTTTAAACGGACCCAGGGTAGCTACAATTCTGTTGCCAGGTATCCCACTTCAATTTCCCTACCCTGGGTCCGCGCGCGCGCCTTGCTGGCTCCCGGCTGCCCGTGATTTAGGCGCGCGCGTGCGCGGACCCAGGGCAGCTACATGGCAGTTGCCAGGTATACCCAGGGTAGCTACAATTCAGTTAGCACTGCAAGCAACCGAAGACAATTGCATTTCTTGCACCTCCAAAACCTTGCTTCCGTGCACCCCTACACACCACCTACTTTCGAGTGTGCTTTCTCAGGCCACCAACCCGAACCCCCCTTCTTACTCAGCTGGCGCCTTGCCAGGTATAGATACCCAGGATAGCTACAATTCAGTTGCCAGGTATAGTACTTCCAGTTCCCTTTCCGTCAACCGCTCGATAACCTTTACAGTTGGTGGAAAGGGAACTTGAAGTACTATACCTGGCAACTGCACTATAGCTACCCTGGGTATCTATACCTGGCAAGGTGCCAACTACACCTTACCCTTCAGATGATGCAAATTGCATTTCTTGCATCACCACCCCTCAAAAATCACCTCCAACACAACCTCAAAAAAACCTGCCGAGTTTACGTGTACCTTTTGCGGGCCACCCCCCCAGACCCCCTAACTACTCACTTCGTTCGCCAAGCACAACTCAGCTGGCGCCTTCTACGAAGGCTGGCTTTCGTAAAAACAAACTTAAAACATTGACTGACACATATATATAAAATTATTATGCTATATATATATTATGTATACACATGGTTATACACGGATATATATGTACACAATATATACTGATATACGACTTCGGGAACATTCTGCGGTAGTTTCCTAGCCAACCATTGGACAGGGCCAACCATTGGACAGGAAACATGGTCTCGGTGAGCAACCACAAGACCCCTCAATCAGAGATTAAAGGACGACACCCAGTGTTGAAGGAAGAAGATCCTGCACCTCATATGGGCAGTTCCCGCCATTCAGTGTTTTTGCTTTCTTACATTCAAGCTGTGATTCTCTGAATTTCTTCCATCAGGGCTCAAACAGTGGCCAGTCACAACATTCAAATACCACGAACCCGCTTGCCTTCAAAACACAGCCCCCCACAACGCTGGCCTCCCCAATGCGTGCTGCACACTGTGGAGGGGGTTGGTACTCCTGCGAAGGCGTTCAGTCCGAAGCCAGTGGTATTCTTTTGGTTGGGGTGTTGATTAGGCTGCGTGGTCGATATGGTATCTCGGTATCTCGAAAACACAAATGATCACACATGTATACACCTCAGGGAGCCAATAGAGGGAATGCTGGCAAAACGAAGTCTGCTGACCAAAGTCTCGGTCCAAAACATGCCAAGACGAGTCAAACTCGGGACCCGTTCATACAAAAACTGAGACCTCCCATGCAAAAGCAAAGCCAAACTCACGATGACGGCACGATTTTCCCTGCAAAGCCATGGTTGGGAACGATCCTTCTTTAAACAGCTGGCACCCAACTCACTTCCTTGTGGCAGGCTATAAATACCCGAAGTGTGGAACAGCAGCATCTCTCCGGTCTTGTGGCGTGTCCTTCTCAAAGAAGGCGGATCCCGGATACAGTAACTCCTTTCCCAATGATACGAGGGCGGGGCAAAAATCATCTGCAATAAGTACCTTAATAACTTCGGAGATGCAGGCTCCGGTTTTGCATGGGTTGTTCAGACCACCACCTTGTGTGAGGAGTCTTAAACTTATGTGGAAATTCTTGGAAGAGCCTCCCAAGTGAAGGAAAAAATAACGCACCTAATCTCCGGGAAAACCTATGGTGTTTACCTTTTTTCCCGAAAGCATTGCGAAGGGTTCTTCCGGAAAATCCTTTGAACACTGACACTTGGACACTTACACTTAGACACACTTAGACATTGACACTTAAACACACGTAGCCCTGTGTAAGTGGAAGAGCGAAAGCTGTCAAAGTATGCAAGTGTAAGTATGCAAGTGATGAGTCTGCAAGCATGCAATGAGTAAGCAAGCATGCAATGAGTAGGCAAGTGAACTAGCACGGGAGATGTCCTAATGAAAAAACATTTCCGCACTTTATAAATTCTCTCTTAAAGGCAGAGGGTGGGACGAACAGCGTCAACCGAAAGTGCAACCCTCTGCGGAGATCGTGCGTGTCGAGTGCGCGAAATGCAGGCGAGAGTGCGATTCGCCGGGTGCCCGCGCAACCCTCTGCGGAGATCGTGCGTGTCGAGTGCGCGAAATGCAGGCACTGGCGACTTTCTACTTCAGTACGCGGAGCAATCTGTGGAGCTGGAAGCTGAGAACTGGCGACTTTGTAGTACAACTTGAGCACGCGGAGTCTCTGGGGAGCTGGAAGATGAGAACTGGCGAGCTGGAAGATGAGAACTGGACTTTGTAGTACAACTTTAGTACGCGGAGTATCTGGGGAGTTGGAAAATGAGAACTGGCGACTTTGTAGTACAACTTTAGTACGCGGAGTATCTGGGAAGCTGGAAGATGAGAACTGGCGACTTTGTAGTACAACTTTAGTACGCGGAGCAATCTGTGGAGCTGGAAGCTGAGAACTGGCGACTTTGTAGTACAACTTTAGTACGCGGAGTATCTGCGGAGCTGGAAGATGAGAACTGGCGACTTTGTAGTGCAACTTTAGTACGCGGAGTATCTGGGGAGCTGGAAGATGAGAACTGGCGACTTTGTAGTACAACTTTAGTACACGGAGCAATCTGTGGAGCTGGAAGCTGAGAACTGGCGAAGTTGTAGTACAACTTTAGTACGCGGAGTATCTGGGGAGCTGGAAGATGAGAACTGGCGACTTTGTAGT